AGGACAGCGCTGCCGGCACTGCAGAACTCGGATCCAGTGTCCTGAGGGAGAAAGGGGGAACCTAGGCTCACGAAGATCGGGCCTCTCCCCAGCACAGGCTCAGCAGTCCAGTCACTCCTTTGCCTTAGTTTCAGCATCCCTTCCCTTAGACCTGACTCAAACCTGCAATGGCCTCATAGAGGCCGCTCTCCTTCTCCTCCTCCTCTGTGAGCTGCTCCTCTGGGCCCTCACACTGTGCTCGGCAGTTCTCCATCTGGGCCAGGCTCTCCCTAAGGGCCTCTTCCAGAAGAGGCAGTGCTGCTGCTATCTCCTGTCTCTTCAGTAGCTCCAGGCCCTCATCATATGCCGCCTAAGGGAGGGAGCAGGGATTCAAGCTGTAGTCCTAAATATCATCTACTGGGGGCTTCTAATGGTGGTGCAGTGAATAGAGTGCCAGGCTTAGAGTCAGGAAGACCTGATTTCAAATCCAACCTCAAACACTTACTAGCTGTGTGACCCTGGGCAAGTCACTTAACCTCTGTTTGCCTCAGTTTCCTCAATTGTAAATTGAGGATAATAATAGCACCTCCCTTTCAAGGTTGTTGTGAAGATCAAATGAACCAATATTTGTAAAGTCCTTAGTACAGTGACTAGTACATAGTAACTGCTATTTAAATGTTAGCTACTATTACTATTAACTACAAGACCTATTTTGTCTAGCTGTATAAACATGAGAAAGTTATTAACTTTGCAGAGCTTTATTTTGCTTATTTGCAAAATGGTGATGGTGATACTAGTAACAGCTATCTCACAAGGTTGCTATGAGCACTATACCAATATTAAACTATTATTATTCAGGTAGGTCCTGCATAAATACACAGGATAGAATGGATACAAGAGCTAGAAACAGTGGAAAGAGTATCTTAGCAAGCTGAAATAAGTTTCATTTGGAGGCATGGTCTCCTCTAGTAAATGCTATTTTATAATTTACTTGGGGGAAAGGAGATGGGAGATGGAGACTGGAGTCTTAGAATCATAAAATATTAAAATTCAAAGGGATCCTGCTCCAAACTCTTCAGAGAGTGGAAATGATTCACCCAAGGTCACTTAGCAGAACTGAGGCTGGAAACCAGATCCACTGTCTCCCAGTCCATCCAAATGGTCTTTCTATTACAAGTCTGGTCTGTCAAGGATGTGAGCAAGATGAGGGGTAGACAGAAACAGAGAGTGGGCTTGGTTGGAGAAGGTAACTCACCCAGTGAAGGGGGTTCTCAAGGTCTCGGAAGCTCTGACGCCGTACCCCGGACATTCGATGATACTTCACCAAGTCCTCCCGGATTTGGAGGTGCTTTGGGTTTGCCACATAGAAGGTGTGGGCTGCTGCCACAGCCAGATCCAATTTCTTCAGCTTTGAGTCAGTCATTGGGGGAATGGAAGGGATGTTGTTAGAGGGAACCCCAGGGGCAGTTCCCACTGTATAATATACCTGCTCTTTCTAAACATACATTCCACCCTGGAACAGTTTCCTAGGTCCCTCCCTGCTGGACATCATCCCATAATCAAGACAGTTTTTATTTCAACATATCATACTGCCTACCCTCCATGCCCCACACATCCCAACTCTGGGGCAGGCTCCCAAACCATCGGGTGCCTATTCTCCAAGGACTTACTCAAAACGAAGGTCCTGCCCCTATACATCCAGCAATCAGTCTTTTCCCCTTGCTGAAGACCACTGCCCCGACCCCGATTTTGAATAAGTCTTAATGTGCAAACATTGTCATTCCACATCTATGGGGATAGTCCTGTGTAACTAGCTGTTGACAAGCTGTAGAGCTGAAAGAGACTTTAGACACCATCCTTTTCTAGTCCAATCCCTTCATTTTAAGCCCTTACTTGGACTCAGGAGAAATCTGGGTTCAGATCCCACCACCAACTTTTACTAGCAGGGACCACTGGTTAAGTCATTTAACCTCAACAAACTTCAGTTTCCTCAATTACAAAATGAGGATAAGAATACCTTGTGACTTCCCCTACAAGGCTGCAGTAAGAGCTAAATTAATATACATATATGTAATGAGCTATTACTGAGAGAAGAGATTTCCAAAGAGGGAAAGTGACTTAGCCAACGTCACAAAAACATAGCAGACTCAAGCCTAGGCTTCCTGACTCCTAATTCTGAGGTAGGTTTGAAGACTTGTGAGTAAAGAAATATTAGGGAAAGTAGGCAGCTGGGCAGGCTGAAGTGTTGCAGAATTACCATTAGGTATCAGGTTGAGTGGGATAGGCAAAGTAAGGAAAGGTGAAAAGACACCCTCCTCCCGACTCTCTGGGTCAGTGAAAGGGGTAAACTTGGGAAGGGGATTGGGAACACATCCCGGATTAACATGTAGGCTTTTAGGACCACGAAGTGTGAATAAAAGGAAGACCAGAGGGCCTGCTGTGCTAGGCAGAGTCCAGGCCACATAAGCAGAAAAAGCAGGAAACTGTATTTTCCATCTCCACCCCTCTCTCTGTCTCCTCCTTCACCAGTTTCTGTATCCTAAGGAACACGTTCACCCAGCCCTCTTCCCCTCATTTGGTCTTGCTCTAATATCCCAGCTCTCCCAACACCCACCCTTCCCCCTAGGCACCCCTCCCCCTCGGTCCCCCTCTAGAGGGTCTCTCAGGCCTGAGCTCCACATTCCGTTCCTTTCTCCCCTAAAAATCCTCCGATGACGCTACTATGCAGGATCCAGTTTTACAAATGCTATCAATGATCATTCCTGCATTGGTTTTAATGTGGTGCCGTGGAAAAGGCGCTCAGATTCGGAAGACCCGTGTTCGAAGTCCAGTTCTGCTCCTAACTACCGATGTGACTTTGAGCCAATTAACCTCATAACCTCTCTGGGCCTCGCATCCCTCTTCTGTAATATGACGAGGACGGGGAATGGATTAGGGAATCCTCAAATGGCTCTCGCCTCCCCCTACACAGTCGTTCTAATATTACGCCCTCTTGCTTTTGTTTTTAAAGGATCACTGTATTTCGTGCGGGACGAAATCTTTAAATCTAGCACAAAGTGCTTACTTTACAGAGGAGGAAACTGGGGCCCGGGGAGGTGCAGTGATTTGCCTCAGGCCACACAGGTAAGGCAGGAAGAGGAGCAGGGTCGTTACCCGAACCTCCAACCCAGTTAGCGCCAGAAGAACCTGCGCTCCAAAGAATGCGAGCCGCTCCCCACCGCAGCCCTTGCCCGCACCTGGTAGTAGGCCCTCTGCAAGTAGTTGTAGGGCTCCCGGCGGCGGAAGGCATCCTGGAGCGCACGCACCGCTCGGTGCCCCGCGGCGCCCCTGGGTCCCAGCCTGCGAACCGCGCACTGGCTCAAGCATTCGGCTCGGCGCAGCGCGGCGCGAAGGAGCAGCCTTTCCCAGGGCCCTAGGCTGAAGTCGGAGCCAGGGTCGCTCGAGGGCACTGGGGGCAGCTCGGTGCCCGGCTCCGCCGCGCACCGTGCCCCGCAGTCCCGCCTGGCGCGGCCCACTTCGGCCCTGCTTCTCAGCGCCTCCCGGAGGAGCGCGACCGCCCGCTCCCAGGCCCCCGCGGCATAGGCGCGCAGCCCGTCCGCGTACAGCAGGTCCGGGGACTGGAGAGGCGCTAGCCGGGGCAGCGGGGCCAGGCCTGGGGCTTCCACGCAGCCCCGGGACGGCAGAAGCAGCAGGAGAAGGAGGAGCGACAGCATGATGTGGAGGTCCAGCAGGAGAGGGAGAGAGAGGAAAGGGAGGAATGTGAGAGGGAGGGGAGAGGAAGGAGAGAGAGCTAGAGAGGAAGCGGGGGGATGGGGAAGGAGAAAGAAAGGAGAAAGCACGGCGTAGAAATAAGGAAGAGAGGTACAGTGGGACAGGACATTTCCCTTGGGATGATCAAGAGAGAATCACAGGGATGTAGAGCAGAAGGAGAGAGAGAGAGAGAGAGAAGAGTACTGGATAGAGAGGAAGAGTAGGATCTGAAAAATATGTAAGAAAAAAAAAAGTAGGGAACTTGGGTCAGGGGAAAGAATGAGGGAGATGCGTCCTTTTGGAGGATTGGTGTGGGAAGGAAGGAGTAACCACCAAGTCCTGGGGGTTCTGGCTAAGAGAGATGGACAGTGGAGTGAGGGTAGGAATTGGATAGTGGGAGGAATGGAAACTGTGCCATCCAAGAAGTCAGTGGGATGTTCTGGAGGTGGCCACTCGGTTCCAGGACATCTGAAATGCAGCCCTAATTTAGGACCAAGAAATCTAGTCCTTGCACTGACTAGTGTAGTGGTAATCAGCGGAATGGGGCAGAGGGTGGTATCCCAGAGTCTGTTAAATCAAATGAGAGGACCTTTCACTACGGAAGTGATTCCCAGAATAGAATTGGGGTGGAAGCAGGAAAGGCATCACCTTTTTCTTTTTTCTATACATATAAATGAGTTCCCCATACCACTTTTAACAAACCAACCTACATACATAGATCTTGTTCATTCATGATCCTGACTCATCTGGGAACTTGGAGTCAGAACCCCTGAATTTAAGTGCTGGGGCAGGCACTTGATAGCTGTGTGACCTTGAATAGACACTTATCCTTTCTAAGATTCCTCATTTATAACATATGAAAAACACTTTTACCACCTACCTCTCAGGGTTGTTATGAGCAAACAACTCTGTAAACTGCAAAGCACCTGTATGCACAGTTGAATGATTGATAGGGGGGACTAGGAATATCTGTATGTGAGATTGTGTATGTGACTTTGTGTGTGTCTCTTTGCCCCTCTATCTGGATCTGTCTCTCCATAGTCCTTTCTTCCTACCTCAGGGAGTTGTGAGGAAAAGGTTTTAAAATCCTTCAAACAACATATAAATGTGATCTATTCCTTTGACCTTTTGACTACCACCACCACCAGCACCCCTACCCACCAGGACACAGTGGCTACAACTGATTCCACAGTAACACTTCAGATTTTAATACATTGGGCTGGGGATGATGGGAAGTAAGGAGCAGGGTCCAGTCTTATAGACATAGTAGTCAGAGCTATGATGCCCCAAATCCAGTTCCCCCATTCCCTTCTAAGTCTGCTGCTGACAGTTGTCCTGGGTTCAAGTCTGTTGCTAGTTGTAGACAGGACTAGGTTAAGGGAGACATCTACCCCAGGCTCCCTTCCTCTTAAGTCTGTTGGATTCACCATGGGCTCACAGGCTCAATGGGTGGAATATAGGTGTGTTTGGGCCCCAAGTTCCACCCCAAGCCTGTGAGTCCCCCTCAACTCCAGTGAGGGAGCACCGTCGCCCTGTATATAGCCCCGTAGACACTCCTGTTACCCCAGTATCAGGAGATCCTAGGGAAAGACGACGGGGTAAGAGACCTGACGCCCGGGGCCGACGGGGAGAGGGACCTGGGGAGGCAGCTGGAGAAGGCAGAGGTGTCTCATCAATGAAGGTAGTGATCTCATCTCGGAAGAAGCCGTGTCCCCTTGGAGGTCCTTCACCTCCTCCTAGCATTCTGCTTTCCAGGAATTGATGCAGATTGGTCAATGCTCCAGACTCCTCTTCATCATCTTCCATGCCCCGGAGTGCCCCTAGTTCCCTGTTTGCGGATGGGATTATCCGGATGTCATCTGAAGATGACCACTTATGCAGGAAGGAGCCAGGTGTACGAGGAGCAGAGAAGATGTTGGTTTCATCATGGGATAGTCTCCTGGACAATGGGACCTGGGATGGAGGAAAGGTGAGATCTTGAGGAACTTCATGGAGCAATATATAGGACAACTTTTGGAATATTGAGGGATGTACCCAAACGATGGTGAGAGCTTTTCTCCACCTTTTCTTTCTCTACCTGCATTTTTTTTTTTTTGGTAGAACTAACTCAAAAACCAGTTTCAATAGGTTTCCCCTCTAGTTCTCCTTTACATTGCATGCATGTGTGGGTACACACACACATGCACACACGCACACAACCACACACACACAACCACACAGTAAGCTGAAATAGGACCTTCTTTCTCTCCATCACAGTTATGTGTTTTCTGTATTGATTTCTTAGGTTTCATGGGACTTAGATTTAAGGGACTTAGAGAACATCCAGGCCAACACTTTCTTTTTACAAATGAGGAAGCTGATGCTCAAAGAGAACTGACACAGGAAAAGCACCTGAAGCCCCTCCAATCTATCCCTGTACTTTTTAGTCCTTCTGCAGGTAGTAGGAGGACTGCCAGTGGTACCTCACCTCCTACCCCTGACCCGGGAATACAGAAAATCATTGGATCACTGGGGGAGAGGGGTAGGCAAATGGAGACAGACAGAGCCCAAGTATCTCTCTTTTTCCCAGTTATTGGTCTTCCTTGCCTTCATGGTGGGCTGATGGTAAAGAGGAGAGGGAAAGATCTATCTAGGAGATTAGAACACCCCATCCTTTCTCAGTTCCATACCTGCAAATAGTGGACTCTCTCATGAGGAGGAAATAGCATGTGCCTCCCACTCAGCATCTTCACCTGGGTGGGGTCTTGTCCCCCTGGCCCAGCAGCCCCGTTAGCATCAAAACGAATTTTGCAGACCCGTCCATCAGTATAGTCATTGCAGGCTCCATCTTGGAAAGAAAAAGGGGATAAAGTAGGTGGCTCCATCATGAGACCACCCAATGTATACAACTATCATTGTCCCCAGGATGCCCATCACCCGGCTTCCCCCAGACCTCTTCTTATGATTTGACCCTGGATACCCACTTCCCTCTTGACCCCAACCCTTTGATTGAAAAAGGAGCTGTGAGTGTGTATGTGTGTGTTTGTATGTATATGAGTATGTGTGTGTGTATGTGTAGCTTCTGACAAAAAGGTAGGTTGTGAATAGATCACAGAGGAGAAAAGAGCTTGAAGTTGTATCAGGGTAAAGGGAGAGGAGAAGAGAGGGTCTCGGATTGATGTATCTTGTACAGGGAGGGTAGGGAGCATGTAAGGGCTAGAAGCAACAGAGGGGAAAAGAAAGGCCTAGAAATCAAGACTGAGAGACTAAGGGTGAAGCAGGATCGCCCAGTGTGAATGGTGGCAGGGAAGGTTGAAGGGACCGTAAATACAGTGGTGGAGATGCGTCCAACAGGGGGAGCTACAGTGCAGTGTGTGTGGACCCTAACCTTGTGCACAAGGAGAGTCAGAGCTTCAGAAACGGGCGTCCCCCTCATTTTATAGATGAGAAAACGGAGGGACAGAGAGGGATAATAAGGTGAGGGTGGCATTACAGTGCCCTTCGCAGACACTTGGCAGCAAAGGAGCTGTATATTTAGTGAAATCAGAGTTTAGGAGTCTGTAGGAGTGTTCTTGGTGCAGGAAGGGAGCAGTGTATGCGGTGGGGAGGGTGGACATCCTCTGACCATCCTCGCCGTCCTCCTCGGACATGATAGCCACACATTGCTCCCACACGGTGCGCACATCGGCTCGGTAACGCTCGCAGGACCAGATGAAGGAGGGCAGGAGCAGCGTCTGCACCATGGAGCACCACAGCACCGCCAGCACCATCCAGGGGGGCGCAGAGTCTGACTTCAGTGAGAAGAAGCTCACTGCCTGGGGAAGGAGGGCAGGAGGGCTCATCAGAACCATTGTGAGGGCTCAGAGCCATGGTCTCTCCAGCCCAGTCTGCCTCTGACAGTGGGATTTAAGGGACAGCTGGAGGATGGGCTTCTATCAGGGAGAAAGGAGACTAGGGAGAAGGAGCATAGGAAGGTTAACTAGAGGAAGGTCAAGAGGACTGGGATGGAGAGATGGGGCTTGAGGAGGGGAGGCAGAGCCATAATATAGAGGTATGATGGAGACTTGGAGGTTGGGACAGAAGGGACTGGTGGTGAAAGTTACTTCTATTTAGGGTGGAGAAGGTTCTATTCTAGATGGAGGGAACTACAGATTGAACGGGGAAGTTAGAGGCTGGATGGTAGGGAGAGGGAAGTGGAGTATGGAATCCTGATCTCACCAGGATGGGCACCCCAGTGAGTGAGTCGTAGAGAAAGACGATGGCGCTGACCAAGTTGGTGACCTGCAGGGACGTCTTGGCTGATTCAGAGCCATCCAGCGAAGAACGACGCTTCCCTCGGGCATCCTCCACTACAATGGCTGGAACCTCGAATGCTGGCCGGGTTCCTAGGCCCCCAGGACCTCCCCCTCTTGATCCCTCTCTACCCCCTGATTTCCGGGCCCGTCTTGCCCGACGGGGTCGGGCCCACAGTGTCTGGTAGAAAGTGATGGCCACACACACCAGCCCCATGACGATGCCACCAAGCAACAGGAGGCTAAAGCAGACCCCAAAACCCAGCCCGATCTTGGAGACAATGAATTGGCAGCCCCGGGCGTAATATCGCTCGCCGTTGTTGTGCCAGCCAATGGAAGGCAGTGTGGATAGGATGAAGCTGACCATCCAGATGCCCATGACAGCATGCAGTGCCTGCTTCTTGGCATTGCTCAGCCGGTAGTTGACAGGCCAGCGGACCATCCACATTCGGTGATAGGAGAGTGAGGCCACAGTGAAGCAGGTGGCTAGGGCCAGCGTGTAGTAAGTAGAGACAAAAACTTTGCAGATGCTCTCATTCCAGTCATAGTCTGAAGAGGCCTGGCGTCGGAGCTGCACCACAGCAAAGGTGGTGAGGGGCACTGCTGCCATGAGGATGTGGGTGCCAGCCAGGAAGCAGAGCAATAGTTCCAAGGGTTTGTGTTTCTGCTGCTTGGCTGAGATGCTGAGAATGATCCATGCATTGGCCAGGAGGGCCAGCATTCCACAGGCCAGCCATGACAGGGCATTGGAGCGGAGGGAGGCCTCCTCCACCCCTGTCCCGCCCCGAGCCATCCTCCTCTTCTTCCTCTGCCCCCCACCCCCCCTTAAGTTCTGGGGGGTGGGGGGAATGGATTCACCCAGGAGCCCCACTGAGACTGCCCCCCATGACCCTTATGATCCCCGTTTCCCAATTCCCCCCCTAGAATGAGGCAAAAAAGTGCCTGTGGCCTACCCCACTGCCTTGTCCTTCACGGCTCCCCTAAGATGTCATTTGCTGTGGTAGAAAGGAGAAGGAGGATTCCAAGGCTAAGGGTCAAAAGAGAAGCCCTCTCTCTATATATATCTTGTCTTTCCTCTCCCTTGAGTGAAGAAAAAGCACCCTTGCTAGGATGCTGGGTGGGATCCTCTGATTTCCATTCCCACCTGACTTCCTATTGTCTCATCTTCCAACAGACTCAGTGGACTGCAGCTCCTTTGGGTCTCTCCATGAGTGTGGGGGTTTTCAGCAGACAGAACCTGCTGTGGTAAAGAGAGCTGCAGATAGGCCAGGGGTCGGGCTTCCTTTTTTCAGTTGGTTTCCTGAGCTTCCTTCCTTCCTTCATTTGAAATCACAAAAGATTGCAACCTGCAGATGTCATTTAGTCAGTCTCCCTGGCTCTACAAGGAAACCCTGGGGTCAGTGGTGCTCCTATAAGCTGCTAGGGAAAATGGTATTTCAGCCTCACTCCATCATTTGCCATTTCCCTCTCTCCTTTTAACTTCAACAGTGTTCTCCTGCCAAAAACCCCAGCTCACCCGTTTGTCCTATTCCTGTTTCCAAACCCCTTGCAACAGTCTCCTTATCCAATCTCCCCCCAACCCAACCCCATCTCCATTAATTTTTCCCCAGATTCACTGATAGGGGAACAGTAAATAGCTCAGCTCCACTGGAGGTTCAAAGTAGGTGACAATGAAGGGGGGGCAGTGAGGTAGGGTATGTATCCTCCATCCCTTTCCAAACCCTCCATTCTCCTAAGGTTAGTAACTTATCACCTTTTTCCTGTCTTCTCAAGACTTAACTTTTCCCTTTCTCTGACCTAGGGGAGTATCGGAAAGAGGAAGATGGAATTGAAGGCAGAGGGCAAGAGGACCTGAAGGAGGGGAAACTGTTTGACCTCAGAACAGAATAATCCAGAAAGGGAGAGAATAGAGAATGGGTGGGTGGAGGTGGAAGAAGAAGAAAAGGGAGAGCTTAGGGAAAGGGAGGAGGAAAGAAAGGGGAAAGTAGATGGGAGATCCAGAGACTGAGAAGGAACTAAAGGGTCCTCTAGGTAAGGGAAGAGAGTGATGGGAAGGAGCTGAAGACATAAAATCTGGGGCCCCACTACGTGACCTTGGCTTTCTCCTCTTGGGGTGGGGGTGGGGGGCTGCAAAAGCAATGAGGCTATTGATGCTATAGAGCCCTAGGGAGGCAGTTGGAGTAAATCAGAGGAACACAGTAAGGTGGGGAAAGGGTCCAAGGGAGGTAGGTTTCAGAAGGGGCATACAGAGGTTGGGAGAGGTGAAAGGGAAAGGTAGAAAAGCAGAAAAACCAAAGGTGGAGGACATTCCTTATGGAGGAGCCCTCAGCCCCTTTTCTGCACCCTTCCATGAGGTCATAGCACCCCCCTTTTTGTTTTCCATATGGAGCCCAGTAATCTGAGTTGCTATGGTGATAGCTAACCAGGGGGGTGGGGCAACCAGAGTTGGGCAGGAGTACCCCCTCCATTGCCTTTTTCCCCACTTTAGACCCTTTCTCATTTTCCCTCCCTTGGCTCCCCTGAGGGGAGGGGGCACACTTGGAGAAAGAAAAGCTCAAAGGAAGGAAGAGAAAGAGGATGAAGGACAGAGAGGAGAAGGTGAAGGACAGAGTGGGGAGGGGGAAAAGGAATGGCAGGTCAGGGTGTGGGGATGGGAAGCTGAGAAGTCCCCTGTGTTCTTATGTTCTTTAGAGAGGTCAGGAATCCGCACACCCCCCCACCCCAGTGCTAGGAACAGCAGGTGGCCAGGGGAGGAGGGGAACTCAGGGACGGGGAAGGGGAAAGGAAGCAGTGGGATAAGAAAGCAATGGGAGTGGGGAGCTTAGGGAAGTGGGGTCGGCTTCTTACCTCTGCCTGCTCCAAGCAATGCCATGGAGATTAGAGCATCTCTCCGGTCGCAGCTCCTTCTCCTTG